GCCGATAGGCAGAACACTTTAGGAATCGGTTCAACTGGCCTCGAGCCACTCTTCGGTTACCCACGATCTCCAGCCATCCTGAATGGAAAATCAACGTAAGTCCCCCTAGTCTTTATGAAGTTGAGAAAGCTTTAGGAAATCTGGAGCGAGGGCGAGCTGCAGGTCCTGATAGACTGACCCCTGAGATATTTATGGATGGTGGTCCAGTTTTAGCAGCTAGGTTGACTGAGATCTTAGGTAGAATCTGGGAACTGGACGCAATCCCATCCGACTGGTCTCAGTCGCTAATTGTCCCAATCTATAAGAAAGGACAAAAGTCCTCTTGTGACAATCACAGGGGAATAAGTCTAACTAATATAGTTCCTAAATTGTTAGCCTCGATTATACTTAAACGTCTAACTAGAGCTCGGGAACAGCAGACTCGAGAAAACCAGTCTGGTTTTCGACCTGGACGTGGTTGTATAGACCACATCTTCACACTACGACAGGTCCTGGAACACAGACACACATTTAGACGTCCGACGATAGTCGTGTTCCTGGACCTTAAGGCGGCATTCGACTCAGTGGATCGTGAGGTTCTGTGGCAGTGTCTGTCATTGAAAGGTGTACCAAAGAAGTACATTAACCTTATACAAGCACTCTACTCGAACACCACTGGTCGGGTGAGAGCATATGGCGAACTGTCATCTGAATTCTCTACATCAAGTGGTGTCCGTCAGGGCTGTCCACTCTCTCCATTCTTGTTTAACTTTGTCGTAGACATCCTCTTAGAGTTAACATTAAGCTCGTCAGATTTTTCAGGGGTTGACCTTCTACCAGGAAAGTCGCTTACTGATCTAGAATATGCCGATGACATAGTTCTATTCGGTGAAGACGCTGACAAAATGCAGAGTCTTCTGACTACCATAAGCAACAATGCGAGCATGTTCGGGATGCGGTTCTCCCCCTCGAAGTGCAAAATGTTGCTTCAAGATTGGGTTTCATCGGCACCTGAACTAGTGATAGGGAGTGAAGTAGTCGAGCGTGTAGATCACTTCACTTATCTGGGGAGTCTCATCAGTGCTGATAGCCTGGTGACTGACGAAATCTCAGCTCGGATACAGAAAGCTCGATTGGCTTTTGCCAGTTTACGCCGTTTATGACGTAGGCGAGATATCCGTTCGCTAACCAAAGGACGAGTGTACTGCGCAGTGGTTCGCTCCGTCTTACTTTATGGTTGTGAAACATGGCCAATGAGAGTAGAAGATACTCGTCGGTTATTGGTTTTCGATCATAGATGTCTCCGAAGCATTGCTCGTATTTTCTGGGACAACCGAGTAAGCAATGCTGTCGTTAGGAAACGAGTTCTAGGTAAGGATGGCAGATTAATAGATGAAGTGGTGAAACTTCATCAGTTGAGGTGGTTTGGACATGTATTACAAATACTTCACCGCGGCCTTCCTCGGCGAGTGATGATGCCTGTTGTAGGGGTAGCCTGGAGGAAAGCTTTGCGCAGCCAGAACAAAACATGACACAAATCCATGCAGTTACTGACAACTGGAATGATCCATGTAATAGTAGGTGTTCGACTACCTGGTTGGGGTCCACAAGACGATAGTAACCGATGGTTAGAGACTTTGGATGACATGGCTCAAAATCATTAGCAATGGCGCAGGTGCATATCCATTCCGTGTCTTCTCTTAAATTCACTCTCTCCTTCCCTGTGCTAATGTGATATGGCAACTTGGACTGATGTACGTACGTACTTACGTACGGAGTTCTACAATGTATCTAACTGACTGAATTATTATTCTTAAACTTCTACTAATTATCTGTCTACTCGTTCTTTTTGTATAGGTTCTACACCTAATCAAAAACATCGTATTATGATATTTTGTAAACGATGTCATGAAACTGTAATGGTTGCAGAATTTCTACGTGAATCTGGTCATTCTAGTATAGCGCTAACAGGACGAATGAAACAAACTGAACGTAAAGAATCATTGAATAAATTTATTTCAAATGAAGTTGAAGTGTTAGTAGCAACTGATGTTGCAAGTCGGTATGTTGATTCACGAGAAAAAATAAAACATTTTTTTAAGTTTGCCATTTGTTGCTTGAGTGAATGTTCAATTAATTTTTATGATTAATTCCCTAACCACCGACTTCGTCGGCGAGCGATGATGATGCCTTATGTAGGTAGGGATAGGCTGAAAGACAGCTATAAGTGTGCTAGGATATTCATCCAATATCCTAAGAGAATTATTGGTCGATTCCCATTGGTTGATTCCTGCTGGTCAATTTTATAGTCGTCCTAGATATCAATGTCACGTGTTCCAATGTTGTTTCTTATTGGTTGTCCTGACTATCAATGTCACTTCAAAAGTTGCTTCCTATTGGTCGTCTTAAGTGTCAATGTCACAGACTTCGATGCTGTTTCCTATTCGACCAAAATGTATAAATACGCATTATGTGTAACGTTTTATGACCAGGACCAGGACTGGATCCCGGGTCCCTAGTCTGGGATCCTGATTCTCTTCTGGACTCGGACCTCGTACTTTCTAGATGCTTGTAGAATACAGGTTCTACTCCATATCAAGTTTCTTCTTCTTTCACTCAATTAGGAGGTTAGGACAATCGAATTGAGTAGGATGTCATGTCTCCGGATCCTCGATCCTCGCTCTCGTTTTCCGACTAAGGTAGCAAACTCGTAATAGTTCAAGTATATCAAGTTGACGTGTTTATGTACAGGCGTAACAGAGTGGCCAAACCAAAACATGTCACAAATCTATGAAGTCACTGACAAATGGACTGAGTCATGTTGGTAGATTGTAGACTACCTGGTTGGAGTTCGCGAGACGATAGTAACCGATGGTTAAAGACTTTGGATGACATGACTGAACATTGTTTGCGATGACACAGGTGGATCCACTCTTTATGTTCTGTGAAATCCTAATCTTCTGAATTCCTCATCACTTCCATCTTTCTCTTTTTAAATTTATTTTACGAGATTATACTTCTTGAATAATCTTTTTGAACCCTAATCTTCTCGATTAACAGTAATACTTCTATTATCTCTTCCACTGTGGTATTTCACCTGAGTGTCTGTGCTAAGTAGAAGAGCAACTTGAACTAGTGTACGTACATACGAAGTTCTACATTATAACTGACTCTCTAATTGACATTAATTTGATTGCGTTCGTTATCCTACTTCAGGACTCGAACCCAGTACTTCTTCACTTCAAACGCTATCAGTTTATTCACTTTACTACTTGTTATGATGTGTAATATGTGCTAACTCCCCAAAACTGACTACTTTAAGTGAGAAGGCCAAAAGCAGAAGAGGAAGTCTGTTTGACTACCGAATAATATGTACAAATACTCGTCTATATATATATATATATTCCACCTCAGAAAATGAAGTCACTACTTGACCAATGGTATGTATTCATCGTTTTCAAACATCTCTGCTGATTACTTACTGACTTACTTACTTACGCCTGTTACCCCCAATGGAGCATAGGCCGCCCACCAGTTTTCTCCAACCAACTCTGTCCTGGGCTTCCCTTTGCAGTTCTGTCCAATTTTTGCTCATTCCCCTCATATCTTCCTCTATTTCTCGGTGTATTGTGTTCCTTGGTCTTCCTCTTTTCCTTTTGCCTTGAGGGTTCCATGTGAGGGCTTATCTTGTGACGCAGTTAGGTGCTTTTCGTAGTGTGTGTCCTATCCACTTCCACCGCCTCTTCCTGATTTCCTCCTCATCTAGAATCTGGTTTGTTCTCTCTCAAAGTAGTTTGTTGCTGAAGGTGTCTGGTCAACGGATCCGAAGTATTTTGCGTAGAAAAATGGTAATAAATACTTGTATCTTCTGGATGATGCCTTTCGGTAGTTCTGCCAAGTTTCTGCTGCATACAGTAGAACTGTCTTGACATTTGTATTGAAAATCCTGATTTTGGTTTTGGTTGAATGTTGTTTGGAGTTCCAGATATTTTTCAATTGTAGAAATGCAACCCTTGCTTTGCCAATTCGCGCCCTCACATCTGCATCGGATTCGCCTTTCTCGTCGATGATGCTGTCCAGATATGTAAAGATGTTAACGTCCTCCAAGGCATCTCTGCTGATTGACTCTGTATATTACTATTGAGTCCAGTTATCTACTGGCTTGTGCAATAAAGTGAAGTTTAATTCATGTGTATTGGTTGTTTGTAGACATTAAATAAACTGTAGATTCCAGTTGTTCCAGTATTCTATAAAACCTCGGTTATGTTTACTTGTGCCTATGTAACTTCAGCACCTCAAATAAGGAGTTGCAACTTGTAGTTTACTTACTTATGCCTGTTAACCTCAGTGGGAGCATAGGCCGCCGACTAATATTCTCCAACTCACTCTGTCCTATGAGTTCTTTTCTAGTTTTATCTCGATTGGTATCTATTCATCGCTTGTCTGTCTCCAACTCTCGACGTAATATGTTCTTTGGTCTTCCTCTTTTCCTCTTGGCCTTGAGGATCCCTTAGCGATTGCAATGACGCAGGTGCATCTACTCTTTGTGTTGCATGAAATTCTAAGCTTCTGAATTCCTCATAATCTCTGTCCTTCTCCTTCTAAATTTATCTCACTGAATTATACTTATCGAATCATATCTTCGCTCCCTAATCTTCTCCATTCCTGCTAATACTTCTATTATTGCTATTACTGTTGGATTTGAACTGACAGTTGCGTCTCTGTGTGCTGATGGGGTATGGCAACCTGAACTGATGTACTTACGTACGTACGTAGTTCTGCATTGTATCTGTCCGTCTGTCTGTCTATCTATCCCTTAGCGAGGGCTTATTTCGTGACGCAGTCAAGTACTTTCCTCCATGTCTATCTTATTCAGCTCCAACGCCTTCTTCTTGATTACTTCCTCCCTTGGAATCAATATTGAATAAAACCATTGTTATGATATGTTGTTTACGAGTTGTTGTAATTTTCTCCTCCTCAATCAATGATAAATTATCCCTTTTTATTCGTTTAATCTTTAGAGGATTAGATATTCCTCATGTTGAATTTGTTATCAATTATAATGTTCCATTATCGGAGAAAACTTATCGACATCGTGTTGGCAGAACTGCACGTGCTGGTCAAAATGGCATTGCACTAACCATAGTGACACGTGATGTAGCACAAAGTTTTTTAGAATTAGAAGCTGCCTTACTACCTTATCTGCCATTATCAACTACTACCAATAATAGTAATACTTCACCTGGAATACCTCGTTGGCCTATTCCACTGCCAGATTTACATAGTCGAAATGGTTTGTTAACTCGTCGTCGTTTAGCTGATCAAGCTTGGTCAAGAGCTTCAAAGGTAATGCTGTTGTGTTTTGGTGAAAAAAGTTTATTCCCCCCCCCACCCTCATGTGTTATAATTCTCTCTCTAATTATTACAACCCAGTTATTCCTACTAATGCTTAGTATTCTCGGACGCCAATCGACTCGAGACGTTCTCCTGAAAAATCAGAACACGGTTGAACTGTAACATGGTTAGAAATGAAGACAGAAAGTCCAAACGAGAAAGGTGTTAGTATATATTTATAGCTTTCTTACATGAGAAGATTCTAGAATGCTCTCTCAGTATCGACTGGCGCAGACTGGATACGAGAAGGCCAATCAGCGTGCAGAAACGCAATCATGCTTTAATCCAATCTATGTCCCACTAACTGATATAAGGTGTATTTTGTACACTTTCTCATACTGTTTCATCACTGGTTATTGGGTTGTGAAGGTGAACTACACTTGACCTTATTCACGAACCAGTGACTGATCAATTGTAAATACATCCCTCAGTTTTACAGGAAGTCAGTCATGACTGAGATACCTCAGTGGTAACGAGTGTCTGACTGTGAAGTTGGTTTACAAAAGAATGAATCTTTCAAAGAGTAGCAGTTTCTTCAAGATTACAACAGGTACAGGTTGCTAACAAGTGCCAAAAGGCACAAAATCTAGGTCGACTACCTGCAAGCAACACCCACCTTCAAGGTTAACATTTCACATGATATTACGAGACAGAGAATACAAGACTACCTGAAAAGTATCAAATTCCAAAGAGAATTTAGGATCGATACACAACAACTCAGTATATTTGGTATGTAGTTCTGACACAGAACCAATTAGCAAACTCCTTACAATCATGAAAGAATCCAGGTCTTCAACCTTCAACTATTACCTAACATCAAAAAATTTAGTGCACATGGTTATGGAGTCACTGCAACTGGTAACAACTACATTACCAATGTCGGTCGATAAGATTCAATCTGAGTCTAGGCATAATTAGTTAAACATTAATATGGGCCACCACTAAATGATCAATCATTTGTCAAGTCTAGGGATAGAATAATTTGACAGGGCAGTAGTTTATAGAATAGTGTTAAAGTAGTCGGTTTTCCAGTAATTAAGTTTCAAGTTTTCGTAACCTACACCCATACCTACTTTGTTATGACGTTATCGATTATGAATTATCATCGCGATCATGAATCAAGCATCATTAGACCACTATTCGAAACCGGGAAGCACTGAACGACCATTACGTCCTAGTATGAGATTCATCTGTGACAGTGCTAATTCAGAGCTCCCGTCCGCCGGAATCGAACCCAGCACCTTCGTTCTCGCATGTGTAAAATGCTTAACCTCTCGACCACTAAGCCAGCGGCACCCAACGGTGTCAATGTCTAACTTGAATTAATTCCAGGGTATTGCTCAACCTCACCCATTGTCTTCGGTAGATAACTGCCTACGTCTGACAGGGTTGAACAACTCCACTGGTCACACAGCTTCTCCTCATTTGGAACTCCGAGAATACCCTGACGAAGCTAGTCACTCACTAGTGAGTAAATTTTTCAAATCAATATGTCATCGTTTTGTTAAATATTTTTTTCACATTTCAGACTATTCGATCTCAGCTTGAAAGCCATCATCATCGTCGTCATCATCTGGACAGTAATAATAATAACCTAACCGATCTAGATCCGATGATCGATGAAGAAGAATTCATTGAAGCCTATGCTAATTCTGATGATGATGACGACGACGATGAGTATAGTACTGATAATTCATCTATCTCTGGTTCATCCTCCTCAAATGGGGAATCGTCGAAGAAATCCCATCCCGCTACTATTACTGCTACTACTACAACTAATACCCTATTAGAAACATCTGGTCAAGCTGGTATTAACGCTGCACGTAGAACATGGAAATCTATGGCGAAAATGTATAAACTTCAAAAGAAATCGAAAATTGAATCGGAAGAATTACAGCGTGCATCTCAAACAATCGGTTGGGGTATTAACACATTGAATGATAATATGACGAGTGTCAATGATAATGACAATAACGCTGAAAATGTTCACGATGATAATGATGATGACGCTGATGCTGATGAACAAGAGATTAATCGTTATGAACAACCAATTAAAACAAAATATGCTAAAATTGAACAATTGAAAAAAGCGAATCGATTAAAACAAAAGAGGCGATGAGTCATAACCATAATGAATCATCATCATCATCATCATAATGATGATGATGATGATTGTGATGACAATCATTTTTTCCTGTATAGAATATTTATCAGTAATTTAAAACAATTCAATTAAACTGTCATTGAGTTGGTGTTTTATTAGCAAGTTAGATTTCTACGCGACAAGGTCGCAAACTTTAATGTACGACTTTCCTCCTGTATCCAGGCTTGGAACCGGCAGCAGCCTCAGAGGGGCTCCAGGTGGAGTTGATGACATACCAGTTGGGACTCAAACCCGCAACCTCCGGAATAGAAGTGCAGAGGTCTTTGTTGATTAGTTGTGGTGTTATAGTCTATTGTGTGTAAGATGGACAGTAATGTTTGTAGAACATCTGTTTCATACAATCTGGAGTACTCATCAGTCGGATATGTCTTTTCCCTATATAGGCACCTAATTACAGTAGTACGGACGAGAAGTAAGGAGAGTCCACCCTCAGTTATGCTTGAGCTATTATGAGTTCACCTTACTCTCGGTCAGTCAGTCAGTCAGCTGCAACGTAGAACTTCATACGTATGTACATAAATTCATGTTGCTATACCACATTAGCACAGAGACGCAATTGTCAGTTCAAATCCCAAGTGATAGAGATAGTAGAGGTATTAATGGTAGTGAAGAAGACTAGGGTTGTGACATATTATTCAAGAAGTATAATTCAGTGAGATTAGGTTAGAAAGACAAAGGTAGATGTGCTGACGAATCCAGAAGATTAGGATTTGAGAGAGATCAAAGAATGGATGCACTTGAGCAATTACAAACAATTTTGAGCCATGTCGTTGAAGGTCTCTAACCATCGGTGACTTTCGTCTCGCGGACCCCAAACAGGTAGTCGACAACTACCAACATGACTCAGTCCAGTAGACAACGACTTCATGGATTTGTGCCATGTTTTGGTTTGGCCACCACTAGCTTTCTTCCAACCTACTCTTACACCACAAAACATAGCTCGTCGCGGCAGTCGGTGGTTAGGCATACGTAACACATGTCCCAACCACCTCAACTGATGAAGTTTCAACACTTCATCTATTGACCTGCCATCCTTACCTAGCACCCGTTTCCTAACGACAGCATTGCTTACTCGGTTGTCCCACGTTATACGAGCAATGCTTCTTAAACATCAAATATCGAATAATAGCAACCTACGAACATCTTCTACTCTTAACGGCCATGTTTCGCATACATATATGAGAACGGAGCGAACTGTTGCGTAGTGAACCCGTCCTTTGGCTAGCGAATGGATATCTCGCCTACTCCATAAGTGACGTAGATTGGCAAAAGCCAATCGAGCTTTCTGTCTTACTCTCGGTAAAAGGAACGAAATTGATGATTCAGCGACACTATAGGCTACTCTAATCCGATTGTCCCAGGCCACACTAACTAGAGGAAGATGTATTGATTAGATGGAGAGAAATGTATTCCAAAAGCACCCAGAAAGTATGAGGTCCTTAGGTACACAACTTAAGCTTATTTATATAACTGATAGAAACGCCCTTGGTGAGGGCCACAAAGTAACGCACTAAAGTAATCCATCAACCAATGACAGTCAAGGATTTCCGAGTGAGAAATGTAAGCTGAATGTCAAATAAGCGTTTCAAAGTTTCAGAAATAAATCACAAAATTAGAACCTTTTCCGAGTGAGTTGTTGGAGTATAACGTCCTCAACACTCTCCCTCTTGAAATACTCTCATATGGCAAAGCATATGTGGCCACTGCAAGGGAAATTCCACTCACTGTCTTCTCGTGACCAGGGTATTGTTTACGATAAGCCTAAAGCGCGTTGGTCGGTTTTAAAAAAACCCTCATTTCAAACCAATAGTTCACATGGATTGCACGATTCTTACGGAATAAATGGCACATTAAGCTATTGTTGATGACTTTGGAACTGCATCTCCTTACGTTACTTCACTACCTTCTGGGTTGGACTTGTTTGTCAGTGGTTCGGTATTTTCTCTAAGAAAACAGTTTAGACATTCAAAGTGTGTCGTAGTCCAATTACGAAGTGAACAACTTGTGTGATTCATAAATTCAACCGATCCTAGTTATTGACCAAACGAGTTCCACCTTGTTGGGTTTAAGCATTAACTATCCAAGACCATGGGTCCTGGGTTCGATTTCCACGAGCGGGTCTCGTGAGTGCGCACTGCTGAAGAGTCTCATATTGTGACGAGATGGCCGTCCAGTGCTTGTGTGTTTCCCTGACATGACTCAGTTCACTTGTCATTGATTTCATAGATTTGTGCCATGTTTTGGTTTGGCCGCCACTAGCTTTCTTCCACTCTACTTCTACACCACCTCTTCGAGGCAGTCAGTGGTTGCGCATTCGTAACACATGTCTCAACCACCTCAACTGATGAAGCTTCAATACTTTGTCAACTAATATGCCACCCCTACCTAGAACTCGTTTCCTAACGACAGTATTACTTACTCGGGTAATCCTTTTACTGATGAGTCTAAATTACTAGGAACTTTAAGCTTAGAGTTCTTACTGCCTATTATCTTCAATTACATAACACTGATTTATAGAACGACTTCTACCCAATCTCTGTTTATTCTTTTCATGTCTGTTTCCAATTCTCTTCATAGTTTGTTCCTTGATCTATTTATTTTCGTTTGGGGGTTCCAAGTTATGATTTGCCATGTGATCTAGTTGGGTGACTTCCGCAATGTGCGGAATTCGTACAAAGACATAACAACGACATTTGAAGTAGACACCATATTCGTTAATCTATTTAAAGGTTTCACATTAACTGTTTAATAAATGCCTGAAAATTTCATTATAAATCCAGGTTTTACAAAATCAGATGAGTTAAAAATGTGATAGTAAAAATGATACTAAGCATAGTCGTTAAGATTGACATACTGTGGTGTGAGCTACTTATAAGTAGTATATGACGTGAGTGTCAACGTAATGTCTGGCAGCAGAAGAAGATGGGGAAAGATCAAGAAAGGAAGAGTGGGGGGAACACAATGGAATTTGTATGAAACGCATGAATAGTGACAATGGATTGATGTTTTGCAACAGGAACAGTCCAGTTCGATATGATGATGAACTGTTATTTTGCAAATGAACGATTTACGATATGGTTTTCCAATTTTACTGAGTAAGTCTGTAATTTTCGTTAAATACAATTCGGTTGCCCCACCTGTGTTCTCGTTCACCACAATACCTCTGTATCAGTCAAGAAGATTTGTGAAGATTGTATTATTTTCTCAGTTGATCATAGGTAAACCACCATTGAAAAGCAGAAAGCACTGAACGGCTGTCTCATTCCAGTATAAGATTCCTCAGTACTGTGTATCTACAACACTGAACGATGGTTTGATTCTCACTGGTACTTTTGAATACGAGTTGGTAAGGTTTACCTTACACTCTGGAAGGAAATGATGCTCTTTACGTATTTCGGTCAATTGGTTTGACAATATGAGTTATTTTATCAAACTATTAGGGCCTCGATCGACCTCCTACTGGAATGACATGATTAGGCTGATTGGTCACTGAGTACTAACCTATAAAGAGTGGCACTGGTTTAAATTCCACTGAGGGTGATCAGCTTCCACCTAGGCCAAGGTTAGGCTGGGTTCCTCTATATTGACACTTATCACCTCGAATGCGTCGAGCAAGTTGGATATCTTTTGGCATAATCGTAACTTGCTTAGCATGGATGGCGCATTATTTAGTGTCCTTGAACAATCCAATTAAGTATGCTTCATTGGCCTCTTGGAGCGCTGAGACGACCGAACTCTGGAAACGAAGGTCACTTGTGAAGTCTTGGGCGATTTCGCGGACCAAACGTTGGAAAGGAAGCTTGCGAATCAGGAGCTCAGCACTCTTCTGATGACGACGTATCTCCTGTAAGGCGAAAGTCCCAAGTATATATCTGTGGGGCTGCTTCACGCCACCGGTTGCTATTGCACATTTGCATGCAGCCTTGGTAGCCAGTTGCATGCGTGGGTCCTTACCAGCGTTTGAGTTACGAGCAGTCTGCTTGGTTCTTGCCATTGCGAAAGGAGCGTTGACTAACAAGACATCTAGATTCATGGTTTCCTTCTAACTGCATTGAACCGCATCATATATGTTCCAACTGTTGTAAATTAACTTATGAAAAAAAGTATCGAAATAAAATCATAGATTTTTACTCGGATCTGAGGATATTCGTAGGTTACTGGTTTTCGATCAAAGATGTATCCTGGAATAATCAAGTATGCTATGCTGGTGTTAGGAAACGGGTTTTTGGGTAAGGATGGCTGATCATTAGATGAACTACTGAAACTTCATCAGTTGAGGTGGTTGAGACATGTGTTACTGTTAGGTTCGTCGCTAAGTATGCTTGAAACTATTGCAGGTTCACCTTAGTCGATAAATGCGAATGAGACAGTGAACCAGCGTTCAGGTAGGCTACATTGATCCGAAACGGTTAAACAGAAGTCTTGATATGGCATAGAAAGAGTATTCTACAAACACCCAGCAAGCACAATACAATCAAGCACACACAACTCTCGTTTATTTATACATCATAGAAACGTCCATGGGACAGTCAAGAAAACAGCACACCTAAATACACAGCAGCCAATCACAGCTAAGGACTTTCCTGGTGAGAAGTGAAATCTGAAGGTCAAATGACCAGTCCATGCTAGCAAACGTGAAATCCAAAATAATGCATTTATCAAGCGAGTTCTGAGTGTAGTGAAGGAGAAGACAAGTGGGGCAACCAGATTGTATTTAACAACAATTACAGAGTTACTCAGTAAAATAGGAAAGCCATATCGTAAATCGTTCATTTGCAAATCTTCAATCCATCATCAATCCATTGTCTGACATTTCACTGCTGATGCGTTTCATACAAATTCCATTGTGTTCCAACCACTCTTCCTTTCTTGTTGATCTTCCCCCATCTTCTCTTCTGCCAGACATTACGTTTTTACTCGCGTCATATACTACTTATAAGTAGCGCGCACCACAATGAGGATCTAACATCCCCAACAGTTACAAATGCCCAACCACCGACGGGAAATATTTAA